AATCTAAACCTAGTCAATCAAGGTCTCCTTAAGAAAGTGGCCTGGAAATTCATTAATGAACAACATAAACTTTGGGCACAAATTTGGAAATTGAAATACATCAAAGCTCATAATCTCTTTCCTTATTCCGTTACCTCTACAGGGTCTATCTTTTGGAAAGCAGTAGGACCTACTCTTACTAATCTAGTTTCTGAATGTAGAGCTTTAGTAAATGAGAATTCCTCATTCCCAATAGGAGAAAGACCTTGGGTTCAAAAGAATAACCAATTCTCTTGGGTATCATTTCCCATAGCTCTCATCTTAGACATGTGAATATTTCCCAATTGATCCAAAATGGCCATTGAAATATTGAATTTATAAATGCTCTATTTTCCCCGAATGAAGCTACTCAACATTTTGGAAACCCCCATCTTTCCAAATTCCAATTCTACTTCCAGGATTTGGCTTCCTCATATTTTTGGTAAGTTTACTACAAAAAGAGGATATATGACCAAATTGAATACCTAAAATTCACATATCTCTCCATAGAGGTGTAAAGTGCCCGTGGAAGGCCCACCCTAAAGGCAGGTCGTGCCGTCTTCCCTGGTGGAAATTTTGGGGGCCCGGCACGGCCCACGGCCTAGGCCCAGGCGGGCCTGTGCCGTGTCGTGCCTACACACGCCTAGGCTTGGGCTGAACCGGGCTACACTATTTTTTCATTTTTTTTGAAAATTTTGATTTCTTTTCCAAGTAAAATTGTAAAACTAAAATATTTAACTTTCCTATGAACTTTGGAAATTGGGAACTATTTAAAAAATTAGGAAATAAGAAATCTAAGTTATTTAACACATAAATGAAAAAAAAATACTTAACCAAATTGACATAAGAATGATGGAATAACAAATTGGAAGAAAAATAGGAATTTTATTTCATTTAAATTTGAATGGTACAAATTAATGAATTACAAATACAATGATTGGATCATTGCATACTTGGATGAATAAAATATAAAAATGGAATAAATTAATAAAATATAAAAAATACAATATGGTTACAAATTGAAAATACAAAATTACATTGTTAAAAATTTAAAAAAAAATCAAAAAAATTAAATAAAATTTAAAAAATTACAATAATTTGAAAAATTGAAAATTTCTATACAAGTAGTCAAAATTCATGAATCATCATTCATGAATCATCATTCATGAATTTCATCATCTACTTCGGGTGAAATGTTCGGTGTTGTATCATGCCCTCCCTTGTCTTGTAATCTATCTTCTGCATCTAGCCAATCCTTGAAGCAGATGCACATCTCTATGCTCTCACCGTTCATGCAGCTTCTTTTGTCATCAACACCCTGGTACCCGCACTAAAACAAGACTCTGATGGAACTGTAAACACTGGAGGGGTTAGTAGATCCCGTGCCATGGTGGCTAGAACCGGATAATTTTTTGAGTGTTCACTCCACCAGGCTAAAATATCAAAATTATTTGATATTTCACTTAAATTAGAAAAAAATTGCTTGTAAATAAAAATTAAGTTCAATAAATGAACTTGTTGTAGAACTAGTAGATTTCTACCTTCTACGTATTAAATAAAAAAGTTTTTCTCTTCTACTACTGGGTTCAAGGTCAGAAGTAGAAGAAGAAGATGATGAACAAGTTGTAGTAACATTTCCTACAACTTCAGATTCATACAAACTGTACATTTCAAATAATAAATTATTAATTTCTTCTTTTTTATTTTCTATATCAATATTCATATTTTCACAATATGTTTCAAGTAAAATATCTAAACCATCTTTTCTAATCCTAGGGTCTAATATTATAGCTAAACAATAAAGGGGATAAATGTTCTCCCAATAGTTTTTAAATTTATTTCCATAATTTCAACAATACATTGAAATTATGGATTATTTATATATTTAGAAAAACAATCACTAATTATCATTAATTGATATGGTAAATTACAAATAGTGGATAATAAATTCCAGATAATTCATTTGTTGCATCATACAAATATTTTAAAAAATCTCTTATACAGACTGTCATTTCCCAGTCTTCCTCAAATATCATATCATTAGCCATTTTTGAATTATAAAAATCAAAAAGAATTTTTTTATGAGATATACAACTTTCTAACATAGCATAGGTAGAATTCCACCTATGCTTTACATATAATATAAAATGTTTATATTTTAAACCATAATTTTGGCATAAATATTTAAATTCTTGTTGTCTTGCCCATGAACTTTATATATATATAATACAATTTCTAATTTTTGAAATATGATTTGAAATAATATTCAAAGCATCTTGAATACATAAATTTAAGATGTGACATGCACATCTAATATGAAATAATTTACCATTTAAGCATCTTGAAAACAATTTGTTTTCTATTCCATAAGCATGCAAAGTATTTAAAATACTTCAGGAATAGTTGGGCCACTATGTGGCCATTCAAGCGTAGTAAAACTTTAAATTATTTTATTCAAAAGCCAATTTTCATCAATGAAATGGCCAATAACACAAATAAAACTAATATTAAATTTGGATGTCCAAACATCCAAAATAATTGCAACTTTAGAATTAAGATTTGCTAACAAAGAAATTAAATTTTGTTTATATGAATAAAAAAATTTTAAAGCATCAGTTCTTATAGTATTCTTATAAACTTTTTTATATTGTGGGTTTACAGAACTATGCAACCATTTTTCTAGTTTTGGATATTCAGTTAATATAAATGGTTGTTTTGCATTACAATATACTTAGAAAGTTCTTGTCTCATTTTTTCTTATGAATATCTAAAAGTACCAAAACTAGCCCCCTCCCAATTTGTGTTTGGGTTGTTTTTCTCCCTTCATCTTCCTCTCACTTATGTGTGAACAGATGTCTGCTCAAATGACGCATACCACCCTTGCTACAATAACTAAAGTCTTTCCTACATTTTTGGCAAACGACCCTTTTCCCCTTCCCATCAATATCCTCTACTTTGAAAACTTTCCAAACCAGGCTACCCAACTTAGAAGCCCTCCTTTTTCCCCTAGTATCACTACTACCGGGGGTGAAAGTTCCACTTCCATCGGCATCAATCGCATCAGTGCTAACACTACCGTGATGCGATTAAATGTCATCCATGGTGAACATGTTGGGGAATTGGTTTTCAGAAGAGCCAGCCATTTTTTTTTAATTCTAAAAAGATAAAAATTAATCTAATTCGACTTACCCGGATTGTCGGTTCAAAATCTCAACTTGGTTTCAACAGTTGAAGCCTTTCAACGTCCAATCCTTCCAAATTGAGATACTTGAGCTAGTTGAGCAAGCATTCTTCTTGTTGAGTCGAAATTTCGATAAAGTTGAGACTTGAGAATTGGAGAATGTAGAATTAGACAATCAGCTAATAAGAATTTCTCATATTGCAGATAATTAAGAATGTATGAGTATGAGAGAGAGAGAGAGAGAGAGAGAGAGAGAGAGAGAGAGAAGAGATTAAGAGAATTGTTGAATGGTGGAGGATAGGGCTATTTATAGGAATTGAATATAATTCAATTGCCCAAAATACCCAAAAAATATCTGTTATTTAGTTGTTATGAGGGGTATTTTGGTCATTGTAAAGTTACTTATAACTTTACCCAAAATGCCCCCTAAACTAGTTGTTATATAGTTATTGGGGGGCATTTATGTCATTTTCTCAACCCCCCATAAGCAAAATACACAAATACCCCCTTAATATGGTTGTTTATAGCTGTTGGGGGTATTTCAATAAAAAACCCCCCAAAAGCTGAAACTAGCCATTGGGCCCCTTTGAGGGGGGGGGGGGGGGCAACGGCTATATTCTTGAGCGGGCCGAGTGCAGCCTGCTATGGGGCTGGCGGGCTGTTCTTCGTGCTGTGTCGCGGACGGCTGGGATGATTTACACCTCTATCTCTCCAAATCTTAGTTTTTGTGTCAGAAAGCTTTGGAAATTAAATATTTCCCCTTGATTCCAACTTTTCTTTTGGAGAATTCTAAATGATTTTGTTCCTGTAAAAGAGATTATCTGTTTTGAAAGCAATAAAAAAATCTATGTTCTTTGCGAGTTAGAGGTAGAAACTACAGTTCATTTATTCTTAAATTGTCCTTATACTCAAGCTTTTTTATTTGGTAATCCTTGGAACATAAACTTTCCAAATACATTTCAAGGTTCATGGGGTTCTAATATTCAAAACCTTTATACCCAAGTAGCAGATAATTCTTTGTTTATGAACATGCTAAGTTGGATTGCTACTGCCTTTTATTATATTTGGCATACCAGGAATGAAAGATGCTTTAGGAATAAGTTGATTCAACCTATTAATCTCCTTCATCAAATTAATCACTCGGTCATACCTCCTAATTCTCCTCTAGATAAATCTGCTTCCTCAACAATAATAGACTTTATGGACAAATTTCCTATCACCATCAATTATACAACGGACCTCATTGTGTTCTCTAATGCATGAAAAATCTTAGACACTTTATACAATTATGGTTTCATTATTCTGTCTATTAACCTTTCCTGCTTAAAAATTATGGGTGGTAGAACTAATCAAGTATCCTCAGTTGTTCAAGCTGAGCTTTATGCTATCATGCAGGTTTTATTAGAACTTTCAAGCTGGAATTGCAGGCTCTTCATCAGAAAGCAAATCTTCCCTGGTCCTGCCTTTGGCTTTTGTCTAGGACTGGGTCTTTATCTTTAACTACTTTTTTGTGTATTGAAAGTTTAATAGCCCATAAAGTATCCCAATTAGCTAAAACACACTGTTTATCCTCTTTTAATTGTGATGATTATCAAGATGGGATACCAAGGGTAGAAGACTATGTTAATGTTTGTTCTTCTGCACCTTTCAAAAAAAAAAAAAGTGAACTTGAGCTTTTGATAAGTCATTTTATGTGTTAAGAGGCTTAAGATATTTGCGCCAAACAGACTACTATAAGGGTAAAGTCGTAAATTTACCAACAAACATGGCTCTTTTGCTGCAGTAGTTTAAAGCTTTCTCCTTTCTTGCCTAATACCTCGTCGAACGAACCCTACTTGCAGAGGTGGTGTTCGAAGGGAATCCTTTCGAACGTCTTCCATTGACGTGCTCAGGATTGCAGAGAGAGGTGTAAGACGAAACTATAGACCTAGAAATGGATGCTATAAGGAAGCAACTCGACGTGCTTATGGGAGCGAACAGAAATGGTGACGTGAGGGAGGTGAATCGCAAATACTACGACCGAGACGTCTGTCGTCTGTTCCTGGTTGGGCTTTGTCCGCACGAACTCTTCCAGTTAACGGTACCTGTTTTTTTACTTTTCTGTTTATTTTAATTTATCTCAGAATTGTTCGTTGGTTCTTGATTATTTCTACCTGTTCATGGCTATTAGCTACTTCTTTTTTATTTTCTTTGTATACTTCTGTTAGGGAATCGTTTTTCAGCATTCTTAGTTGGAAATCCTGCTACTTTATACTTAGTTTTTTGGTTTCGTTAATTCTTGTGAGAATCCCATTAGGGCTTCTCTTGTTTGGTTATACTGCGTTTTAAGTTTTCCGAGAGAGTTGGTTGCGTAGAAGTATTATACTTGCAGAAATTTGAATATAGTCGTTGAGATTTCTGGTATATTTAATAATTTTCTAGTTATATTTCCACGAGGGAACTCGAAAAGATTTTATAGTTTTGTCATTTTATTTGTTGGGAAATGAGTTTCGATTTCTCAAGGTCACTTGTTTCACTCCTTTTCCTTCCTATTAACAAATTAACTCACTCTAAATTTGTATCATCATGCATCATTGGCTGAGATCCTACCAAATCATTCAACTTGACACTAGCATTTGCCAAATTAACTTAACTGGTATTTCATTAGAGCAGAGGACTAATGATCATTGACCTCTATCGTTCAATATTCAAACCATTGATTACTAGGCTGCAATATGGCAGCCTCTATCTTCAGATTTTGAGAAATTGTTATTATTTGGTCTGGTAATGTAATTTCCTTGGATGTTCCATGTTCGTAGATTCTGAATTCATCTTATGTTTGTGACTTCGTGTTGATTTGTACCAGAAAATGGATATGGGGCCATGTCCGAAGGTGCACTCATTGCAATTGAGAAAAGAGTATCCTTTTTGCTCATACCGCAGTCTAGTCTAGTTATTTGCAATTTCTATTTGTAAGTATTTAGTATATCTTTACATGTAGGTCACACAGTATCCAAGGATTCGTGAACTGCCAAAAATCTAGGTTGTCATTATGACTTTGCAGTAGTTAAGGATATTCGTGGTTTCAGCATATGTTTCTGAGTTGACAATTACCGCACTGGGTGAACCATTTATCTGGACATGGTAAAAAGGAAAAAAAAGATATTAGGCCTTTGGTGTGTGCACACACACAGGGAACGAAAACATAAACATGATAGTGCTTTTCATGAGATAGTCAAATTGAAATACAAGGAGTGGCAGGGTGTTTAAAATAAGTGTTTTCTTTTTCTTTTTCTTTTTTTTTTTTTCTGGGAGTCCCCCACTATCGATGCTAAGACTGAGAATGCCATTGGACTGTACAGTGATTTAAGAGGTGTGCCTAGGCACACACGTGATGTGCATTTTAGGGTATGCGCTTCTCCTAGGTCCTTGGCACAATACTTTCAAAAGGCACATGCCTGGTGCGCCTTGTGCTTCAGCCTAGGCACACGTCTTGTGCTTTCAAAACCCCATATTTGTTAATGTTGCTCATTCATTCATCCTAATAAAAAATATTTTTAAAAGTCACTTAAAGTTATAAAACCTGTTTTTATAGGAATTAAGAATTTAAGACCTCGATATGGACTTGTTTGGGCTTGCCTTGAGGGGCTTGGTACAAGGGTGGTTCGTAGAATCAGGAATGCATAATATTTAACATCACATTAGCTATTTGAAGTAATGCAGTTGGGAAAAAAATAAAGAGATTAACAGTTTACATGCTTGAATATGTTTTATATGTAATGCTTGATTTTTTTTTTTAAATTTTCATTTTGAATATGCTTTACATGTTATGTTTATGTATTTTAATTTGAGATAATAGTTTTTTAAAACATTTATTTTAAAACTTATGTTTAGATTTTTAATTAGTATTGTATTTAGTATTTTAATATTTTCCATTTGTTTTGGATTTTTGTTTTTTTTTTACCATTTTTTTTTGCATTTTTGCTACTTGCTTCAAAAAGCTGTGCGCTTCGTGCATTGGGTGCAAAATGGCCCTTGCATTTTGTTTTTTTTTTTGTGCCTTGCGCTTTTAAAACACTGGGGCTGTAATATGTGAATATTATATTTATGGTGACTATCATGCTAGCCAAACCCTATTTGAGATGTCTATATCTTAGTTTCTCAAAATGGGATTAGAAGGGGGAGTGGGAAAAGAGCAATTCATAAAAAATTAAACAGAGGGAAATACAACAAGAAGTTGTGAAAAAACAGAAAACCCAAAAGACAACAAACCACCTAAAAGTTTAACACTTGGCCAGGCCATCTGCCAAACTAGTTGCAGATCTTCAACCCAATTAATTTGAATATTCATATCTTTTGGGAGCCATTGGAAGTGTCTGAAATCATTCCTTAGGTGTTAAATCACCCCTTCCCCTTTTTCAGCCATCCCACAACTACTTTTGAGTCCCCTTCAATGATCAACCTTTGAACACTCAGTTCTTTGGCTTTTCAACCTTAAATACTGCTGCTAAGAACTCTGCTCTAACCTCATCACCTTGTTCAACTGGACCTGAATACAAAGTATGTATATTACCTTCCTCATCCCTAATGCCCCCCTTCAATTCCTGAGTGACCCAGATTACCCACATTGCTTCCATCAAAGTTCAACTTCATCCAGCCACTACTTGGAGGTGATCAAACCACGTAAATTCTTTGTCTTTATGAGGATGAGCCAGGTGTTGCTCCCCAAGATCCGAAGAAGTCTTATACCTTAAAGTCTGAGAAGAGTTTCAAGGTCTTAACCCAATGTTCTACTCTTAAGGTAATGATTTATATAAATGTCTCATTGCTTCTTTCCTTGTCCCCCCAAACTCTTGAGTTTCTTTCTTTCCGCACTGTCGAAACCACTGTGGCCCTAGTACATCTCCACAAAATCCTGCCCTTTCTTTTAGTGCAACTAAAAACAGAAGGGCAAAACAACCTCTCCAAGCTAGCAAAAGGGTTCCATCTGCAACTAAAAAGCAGAAAAACCAATCCCAAATATAGCCAGCAAAGGGACAGCAGAGTTAGAGATGAAAACCAGTCTCACCATTCAATTTACATAATAAGCACCAATTGGGGGACAAATATCAACTTGGTCTTTTCCTTTGAAGCATATCACAAGTATTAATGTAACCGTGAAATGCTTCCCAACAGAAGGCACTGATCTTTGGAGGAATGGGGAACATCAAGTTTCTTTTACAGGGAAAGAAAGAGAGGAGGAAGTGGCTACAAGGGAGTTAAAAAAGGATTTACAGGATAATAGCCCGGCAGGATTAAGTTTTATCCACCTCTCCCCAAAAAACCACAGAATCCAGCAAACTCAACAAAGGAGACGCAAGGGTGGTTCCAGAATAAAAAAGAATCTTAACAAGTAAATGTTGTGGATGTAGATTCTGTTGAAGCGTTAATTTCTATTATTAATTAAAAGAAATTCTCTTATTTCTTTTTCTTCTCAAAAATTAATTAAAAGAGAAAGGGAAGAAGACAGATACAAACAGATGGATCCTTCTCTGGAGGGTTTCCCCTACCAATGTCACAAACAGAATGGGGAAGAAGACACAATTACATACAAGCTTCCCTGAGAAAGAAGATCCGAGCTGCTATTCTAGCTATATTGTCTGCCATTGACCAATCTAAAATCTTTCTGTACTTGCTGCTCACTCTGGAGGCTAAAGTTCTAGCCTATCTTATATGATTGCTAAGAGATCAAATTCCAGCAGTGTGATCCCTTATTTACTCTATAACCACTTGAGTCTCAATCCCTAGAGGTTTGACAAGAAACACAATTTTAAACTATAAATGGGAGCAAGACTTTCAGTTGAGATAGAATTTGCATTGTTGATTCCAACAAGCTAACATGACATTACTATCCTAATCTTATAAGGCTCTTTTGACTCCCAAGGGACTGTTGATTACCAAGAGAGCATCCAGCTAAATTCAGCTTAATTATCCAGTATTGACAGGGCAGAGTGAGACCACTCTTGAATGAGTCCCTTGCAGAGCTGGCTTCTGATTGTTACCTTAGAATGGAGAAGTCCCTGAATCCTTGTAAGAAATTCAATCAGCAACTATAAAGTAATTAAATCTAACATTTTTTCATCATCCTGCAACTTGATGGTGAAAATCCTTGTGTTCTCCTCCCAGATGTTCCAATGGGTTACATATTCAGTATATCTCCATTTATCTCCAAGCAATATTCCTTATTCTATTATTATTGTTATTATTATTTTTGCATATATGTAACATCTTTAAGGAAACAAAAGATTTTCTCTTACAGTTTTAGATCTAATATTACTTTTGTTTCATCTTAATTTTGTTTTTGATAAGTAAAGTTAAAATTTCATTGATATCAGAAAGAATAAATAACTGTTACAAGCATTCAAAAGGGAGGCGCGAGGTGCAGTCTCACTCTTAAAGAAACACAGCAAGACATTTAAAAAACTGTGTGCAAAACAACTCATTACCCCTTGCTTGGCTAAAGAATCAGCCAAAATATTAGCTTCCCTCCCCACCCATTGTATAACCAGATTCATATGTTGTGTTAGCCATTTGAATTTCTTCATTTCATCTCTATAGCACCATATCATTGAATCCAGATTCTTTATCCAGCCCACTGCTCCCCACCACCTAGGAGCCCCCTTCTATCACCAGGTTATCAAAATTCATCTCTTTTGTTATTTGAACACCTTGTAATACTGCGTACAATTCAGATTTCAATGGGTATCCATTCCCCACTGGTCCTGAATAGAGTGCTATTAGATTCTCTTCCTTATCGCTTATGGCCCCTCCAATTCCAGAAGGTCATCCAAATTTTCTGAAATTCATAGAACAGAAATGGAATCTTTATCAGGTGGAAGGTTCAACAGGTTTCAATCTAATGAAGAAATTAAAACTCTTAAAGGAGGATTTAAAGAATTGGAGTTCTCAAGTTTTCGGGAATGTTGAGAAAAGAAAAAGGAGATCTTAGACAGGATGGTGTGGCTGGATAGAATGGAAGAGGATGATAACTTATTTCAGGCAAGGAGGATGGAGAGGGAGAGGCTGAAAGCAGAATTGGAAAAATTAATTCTTTTTGAGGAAATTTCGTGGAAACAGAAGGCAAGAGTTCAGTGGCTTAGAGAAGGGGATAAGAATACTTCTTTTTTCCAAGCTATGGTAAGAGGGAGAAGAAAGAGGAATACAACTCTGAGATTGGAGGGGGAAAATAGAATGATTGATGATCAACAGGAGATTGCTGAAGAGATAGGGGGCTTCTATGACAAGTTGTACAAGGCCTTGCCAAATAGACAGTGCCACCTAGGGGATGAAGGAGTGGTTGGAGAGAGAGTTTGAGGAGGGAGAGGTTTGGGAGGCAATTAAGAAAATGAAAGGAGAGAAATCTCTGGGATCGGATGGCTTCAACATTGGCTTCTGTAAAATGTGCTGGGCTATCATTAAGGAGGACCTATTGCTGATGTTTAAGGAATTTTGGGGGGAGAGGAGAGAAAACTAGAGAAATCAGCAAATGCAACATTTATCTCACTCGTACCAAAAGTTGTTGGGGCTTTCAAGTCAAAGATTTCAGACCTATCAGCTTGATTTGCAGCCCCTATAAAATTCTGGCAAAGGTGCTGGCTAGGATGTTAAAGATGGTGTTACATACAGTGGTGGGGCCCACCCAAATGGCATTCATTTGTGCAGGGAAGACAGATCCTGGATGGGTTTTGATTGCTAGTGAATGTGTGGACTCAAAAGTAAAAAATGGGGAGGTAGGGGTAATATGTAAGATTGACCTTGAGAGGGCGTATGATAATGTGGAGTGGGGTTTGTTGGAGGAAGTGCCGAGGAGGATGGGATTCAGGGAAACATGGAGAAGTTGGATTTTTGCTTGCATTTTGTCAGTGTCCTTTTTTGTGGTTGTAAATGGAGTGTCAACAGATTTTTTCAGTTCTTCAAGGGGACCCCCTTTCCCCGTTACTTTTTGTACTGGTGGTAGAAGTGTTAAGCAAACTGATTGTTAAAGGGTGTGAAGAAGGTTTGATTTCTGGGTTTTAGATCGGAAGGGAGGGTTTAATCATCTCGCATTTGCAATATGCTGATGATACTTTAATCTTTTTGGGAGCAGATTTGGAGTAGGCGTTTTTTCTGAAAAGCATCTTGAATTGCTTTCAAATGCTGTCTGGTCTCAAGATTAACCTAAGAAAGAGTACCATGATTGGAGTGGTAGACATCCAAAATTATGTTCTTGAGGAGTGTGCAGGAGCCTTGGGCTGTCTGGTTGGTAATTTCCCTTTCTCTTATTTGGGGCTTCCAATTGGGGCTAAGGCTTCTGCTGCTTCTACCTGGCAACCCGTGCTAGACAGAATTGATGAATGGTTGGCTGGTTGGAAAGGAAAATTCCTCTCTTTTGCTGGGAAAATCACATTTTTTTTTGATAAACAGTGTCCTTTCTAACTTGTCGACTTATTACCTATCTTTACTAAAGGCTCCAAAGACAGTGTTGGGGGAGATAGAAAGAATCCAAAGGGAGTTTTTGTGGAGTGTGAAGGCTGAAAGAAAGAAAGTACATTGGTCTCAAATGGTTCTGTGGTCTGGTTTCCAAATTTCAGAAGACCTTTACTCGACTGGGAGTTGAAGGAATGCGTGGAGCTGCTGTCCAAGTTGCAGTCAGTGGAGATCAATCTGTCGGATGATGATAGCAGGTAGTGGAAGGAGTGCAAGGATGGGAAATTTACAGTTAAGTCAATGTACTCAATTCTGATCAGAAATATGGTGGAAGCTGATCCAGTCCAGGGAGTTTGGGGGAAACCTGTGCCCCCAAGGGTGGAAGCCTTTGCTTGGCTGCTAGCTAAGGGGTGTATTCTGACTCAGGACAACATTAGGAGCTGAGGTTTTCAATTCCCGAGCAGATGTATCCTCTGTTTATCTGAAGAAGAAAACATATTGCATTTATTCTACAGTTGCAGCTTCATTTCATCAATATGGTCCTATTTTTTCAAGCTGCTTAATAGGGACCACTGGTCAATTTCAGATCAGGCTGAAATCTTTAGATGTTGGCCAAGAGTTCAGGGTGGTTCTAAAGTCAAGATTCTGTGGAGCTGTATTCCTTTCACAGTGTGCTGGGAAGTTTGAAAGGAAAGAAATAAAAGAATTTTTGAGTACAAGGAAAAAAGTTGGGAAGAGGTGGTGGCTCGAATCAGTTCTTCAGCAATAGGTTGGGTTTTAATCCTGCCAGATTTTCAAGGACTATAGAAAGAAGATTTTGGGGCAGACTTTTGGAGCTCTTTGAATGCTTAGTTCTTTTTTTTTCTGATGTATTTTGATAAAGTCTGTTCTGTTTTGTTTGATTTGTTTCTTGGGGGTGACCTCTTGTCACTTATGAGATGTAAACTCTTTTCAGTAATAAAATTTTTTCTTTGTTTGCCTTAAAAAAGTTCCAGATGGACCTGGGTTGCCTTGACTACTTCCATCAAAATTTAGTTTCAGAAAATCTTCAAATAGAGTACTTTATTTATAAAAAAAGAAAATCTTCAAATGGAGGTACCCAAGCCAACCTTGTTTTAACCTTCCGCACTGAGCTTGAAGCCATCGAGTACCAGTTCCTCCAAATGTCATCAAAGGAGTACTGCCTAAACAAATCTAAAGTTAGTTGCCAATGTATAGCTCTAGTCATTACACAATCTGTAACTTGTTTGCTTCTCTCCTCCTAGAAGATCCTAGCATTTTTTTTTCTTCCCACAAGGTCCAAATTACTACTGCTCTAGTGCATCTCCACATTAACCTTCCCCTTCTCTTCAGCCAAGCAAAAGTTGATGAATCAAATAACATCTTAATTTCCATTGGCACATTCCACCTACACCCAAACAAAGAGAAAAATCAATCCCAAATATCTGCAGTGAAGGAACGAGAAACTAGTAAGTGGTAACAAGATTCACCATTAGGTTTACAAAGAGTGCACCAATTTGGAGAAATACACAGATAAAGTCTCTTCTTTTGCAAGTAATCTCGAGTGTTAACTTTCCCATATACTACTTCCCAGCAGAAAGCCTTAATTTTAGGGGGAATCGACTGGCACCAAACTTCTTTACAAGGAAAGGGTTGGGGGGAGGGAGACTGGCAAAGCACATTGAAGAAAGAGGCACAAGAAAAAGCTTTGACAGGAAGTGGCTTCCTCATCCCTCAGTCCCCTTCAAAAGCCAAAAGCTTTGATCACCTCCTTTTTTGTTTCATTTAATTGGTGAGTTATTTCTTTTACCATGTTCTCATTGTTGTTTATTTAATGTCGAGAAACAAGTGTATAAGTCCAATCATCCAACTCCCTGAAGAACAATGAAAGAGATAAACATAATCCAATAGTGCTACCAAAAAGAGCAAAAGAATGATACACATATGGAAGCAAAACCTGTCTGTCCTATCGGTGCATGATGTTAGTGCTTTTGAGAATAACAGTTCTATCATCAATAATCTTCTTATAAGCATCTCATCGTGAAGATTTCTCAACCATATATCATGGTTGGTATTCTCAATTGCAATACTTCTCATGATGGGACTTTAGCATTATTACCCATTTGAAGATTGGAAATTTGTCTTCTCTCTCTCTCTCTCTCTCTCCCATTCTCTCTCTGAACCCATCCATTTCTGTGACATCACTCTCCCTCTTGCTCCTTTTCCAAGAAAGGCATCTGTTTTTAATATAATCTCAGTGCCTTAGCTGGAGTAATCTTTCTAATCTTCAAATTTGTTAGTTTGAAGAGTTTCATTTAACCATTTAAATATTTTCTTGAAACAAAAAATGGTAGTTCAATTGTTTTTCTTTTCACCCACACCTTTCTTGTCCACTGTGGCCTGCCAAGGTTTAAAATGTTAGGTGTCGGTGGAAGTGCTGGTCCTCCAAATATAAGAAACATGGCAGAAATATCATATGTAAATATTGTAAAAATTATAGATATGGTGGAAATATTGTAAAATATGCAAAATATAAAATTATATTTTATGAAATGATAAAAGAAGCATAGGCAGACCTTTTTAAATATTATCTTGTTCCAAATCACTAAACAAAGCTAAGAAAACTAAGGTTATATACAAAAGAATACGCTCAGAGGTTGCCCTGTAAACCTTAAGATTCAGAGCTTCATGATAGAATGAGTTAGAGCAAAATTTAAACTCAGAGAAAATGTAAATGGTTGTAATTGATCAACCAAATAATCTATTACATGAAGAAAAACTAATATTTTAACTTCATGCTTGAAATGAATATTGAGCTAGCTCAAAGTGGTCATTATGTAATTTAGGCAGGAAATAACATTGTTGCTCCACATATCTACAATATTATCACCAACTTATGTTATAATGTTATCTCTTGTACTCCACATAGTGTTGGTAGTGTTCACTGGGGAATATGTATATCGTGGAAACAGTCTCATGTACTCTGCATAGTGTTGGTAGTGTTTACTGGTGAATATGTACGTTGTGGAAACTACCGCTTGTACTCCACATAGTGCTGGTAGTGTTTATTGGGGAATATGTTTATTCCAGTTAAATTTTGTGTTGCTACCCATGGAAATGGAAATACGTTGTGGATAGATTAGGGAAATTAGGGACATTTTAGGCCTGCATAACTTGCTCTTTACTGGAGTCAAATGAACTTATGTTCTATCTGCCAGCCTAGGTGGACTTGTGAATGGATAGTGCTACTTTGGTCTCTTCTCCCTTGGATATGTTTGTGCTTTTTCTTCCTATTTGGTTGATACATTAACTTGTTGACTTGCATGTATTTTATATTTTTATTGTTTCTTACATTTTTAACATATTTTGGTCAAATTTCTGCAAAGTATATTGAAATGACATATTGCATCACTTCTTGTCACATGTGAATTTTTAGGCTGTCAGTTTGTTATCCTTAAAATCTTTGTAGATATGAGGAAGCAAAAGCAAAAGGTATTGATAACTATGACAGGGACCTGGAAGATGTTATAGATAGGCTTATTGTTGAGTGTGATCGGAAAATTGCAAGAGCTCTTAAACGTCTAGAGGATGAGGATGCTAAAGCTGCAATTGCTATATCTGTCTCTGAGGTTACACAGGTAAGTGTTCTTCAGTCTATATTATTTAGCCATGATTTGTTTCTTGACTAATTTTTGGGTTGAAAGTTCAAAGAACGTTTTGAAATTGCAGTCACCTGAAGTACTTGAGTTGACGAAGCAAATTAAGGAGAAGTTGAAAGAAGTTGATCAGCTTGGTAATTTCCCTCATAACAGTCATAGTTTCCAATTGTCTTTGGTTATATAAGTGCTTTTCTGTTGAATATTTTATATTTTTCTTGCTTGAAAGAACAAGATGGTTTGTTTTGTCTCTTGCTCACTTTGCATATGATCGTTTATGTGTATCTATTCCATATCTGTCTCTTTCACACAAACATAGTACACATAGACATGTGCACAACTCACTTGCTCACTCTTTTCTTATTTCATTCACACATCCATTGGGTTGCATCCCAATGGATGGGACTCGGGACCAGCTAATACCTAATGCCTTTTATTCTTGTCATTACTAAAATTTCTGTTAATTATCCAAAAAACATATAAGATATTCTTGTCATTAATAAAATTTGTAAGCAACTTCTTTCTATTTTTTCTCTATTTTTCTTGTGTTTGGGATTATGTGGTTGAAGCAGTTGTACATATGCTCATTGTCTTGAGCCCTTTTTTGTATTTTTTCTCTTTAATGAAAATTCTTGTCGATTATCAACAAAATATGTTTTCATTTTAATAATTTTTCAAAATATTCTTTACATCTTTTTTTGATTTCCTCATCTTTTATTAAGACTATTTGATATTTCTCTTTGCTTTAATCCAACATGATTTAAATTTTTGTCTTTCCTTTCTCTCATCTTTGCTTGTTTATGAACTCCATCTATCTCCTTCCTTAGTGTGTAAATTATGATAGAGATAGTTATATGCCTTAAAGCTTCACTCACTTTCTTTTTAACTTTTTATATATTTATCTGAGTTTTCTACATTTTCAGTCTTTTGTCAATCTTTATAGAATGTTTGTTTTACTTTGGTTATATTTTGAACCTCTTCACTCTATTACCAAGTTTCTTTAGTAATCTGTTTCAAGTTGCATGTCATTAGTCTCTTCATTTGCTTACACCATGTTTTTGCTTTGATTTGCATTTAGAGGACCCATAGTTGGCCTTGCAGCATTTTTCTTTAGTCATTATAAATAAGTGGAACTTAATATTGTGGCTCATTTTCCTACCTGCTGTCTATTACAGTCCTAAATGTTAAAGTGCTTAACTTGATGCGTTCCATCAGTCTTAAGGGTTTTTGGTGTATTGGTCAAGCATAACACTGTCTGAATTCTCTGACATTAATTCCTGTTTTTTTTATTTTTTTTTATTTTTTTTTATTTTCATATGGACAAGTAATATGACAAACATGACAGCAACTCAACATGCATCCTATCTGGACATATGACTAAAGAAAGATAATATGGTCAAACACCTTATTTTTCTTTGCTTGTGAATGTTGATGAAAGTTGTGGAATTTAATTTTGTATGCCCTTTATAATTTTGTTACATTTGATCCTTGTGTTCTTTATAATTGCATAATGTTGATTGATGTTGAGTCATTTGTATTTTTTAATATTGGGTGTGGTTATTTTAATGCAAGGGTCTCCTTGTTTTCCTTGATAAGGAATTGTATTGGATAATGGATACACCTATTGGGACTTGTTAAAAAAAATGGATACATCTATTGGGTCTTCTGATTTTCTTTTTGTCGGTCTACTGGGTCTTGTGATAGATGCTTTTTCTTTTGACTGGTTGTGGATGATTTTTTAATGATCATTGAAATATGTGAGAGATAAGGTGTGCAATGGAGTGGGTTGATTTGGTATGGGATCCAACTCTGTACCATATCCATACTTAGAAGGTTTGGGTTGGAAATGTCCCTAATCCCAAAATGGATATGATATGGTTTACTTTAATGGATTCTATCTGAATCTGGGCTTATATGGGCTTGGGTGTGAGACCTGTTTGGATCCTAATGCCTTAATATATATTATTATCTCTAATATAATCTCTTATGAATACATTTTACATTCATTAGGAACAAGCAAATCTAGAAAATGGGCTGGTCTTATATCTGGATCTTCACATGGATGGATGCATTTGCAGGTTAAGGGGTGATGTTGGGTTTGGGTTATGTTAAATTGGATTGGATGTGGGTCCTGCTGGATCCACTCCATATCTGACCTATTAGATGCCCGAGTGAGAAGTCTGAATTGGGCCAATATAAGTTTCATAATTAGACATTTCAATGATATATTTGCAGATCTTGAAGGCAAGACTGATAGTAAGATTCGGGCTTTGGAAGTGGTGGAAGAACTTAGAACTAAAAGAGCAGACAAACAGGTGAATTGTTTATTTCTGTTCAATGCTGTTTTCAAGGTGATGATTCATGATTTCTGTTGAAGTTCCTAGCTGTGTAATAATATGTTGTTGATTCCAAACTGATCAAAATGGTTTGTCATTGATTCCAATTGGCAGTCTATGCTTCTGTTGGATGCCTTTAACAAAGATAGAGCCTCTCTACCACAACCACTTCAGAATCCTCCAGCATTAGCCCCATTGCCTGTACTATCTCCTCCAGATCCTCACACTCAGGAAATGATAAATGAAAAGTTGAAGAAAGCAGAAGATCTTGGTGAGTCCACTATTTGGTATTCTCCTTCAATGGTAATGTTTATTTATTGATGAAATTTTATTGAAGAAAATCAAAGTAGTAACAAAATAAAATTCTATACAACTCATTCCATTACCCTATTACAATCCTTTAGTATTTCCCCCACCCAATATTTACAACATGGCCCAAAACAAATGGTCTTCTATTTACTCCTTACTTTGCGAGTTGGTCAGCCAAACTATTTGCTAATCTTCGGACTCATTGAACCTTCAATTGCATATCCTTCATGAATTGCGTAAATGTCTTGATTTCATTCTTATATTTCCGCAATGCATTTTCTATTTTCAGCAACCAGCTAATTACAATTTTTGAATCCGTTTAATTACAAGTTTCTCCACCTCCATTTCCATAGCCTTTTGCACCCCACAAACTACAGCCAATAATTATTCCCTTGTAGAATCCCCTTCTCCTATTGGTCTTGACAACAATGCACAAATTTCTCCTTTTTCATTCCTCATCACCCCCATATTCGGCTATTCCAGATGAGCCTGGAATTGGATTACCAAAGCTGCTGCCATCAAAGTTCAATTTAAGGAACCCACCTTCCAGAGTTGGCTACTTCTTTTCTACCCTTTGTTTCCTTGCCAATGATCCTGCCACTGTTCCCCAATTGTTCAGCACATCATCAACTATTAAGTTTGTAAACGACTCCAAAGTTTTTACCCAATGTGCCATCCTAACCATTGTTGTTTCTGTGATAGCCTCCTTACTCCTTTTGTCCTAAAAAATACAAGAATTTCTCTCCTCACGAATAGTCCAAATCAATGATGCCCTTATGCATCTTCACATGATTCTCCCTCTTCTTTTCGGCCATCTACATGTATTTGGATCAAACAACTTGTCTAGACTAATAGGATAAGCCCACCTGCAACCAAAAGCGAAAATAACCATTCCCAAAGACAAGAGGTAAATGGACAAGAGATTAGTAAGTGAAATGCAGTCTTCCCATTCAACCCACACATGGTACACCAATTTGGGGCAATCACTAATTAAGTCCTTTCCTTTGTAGCAAATCATAATGGTAGTGTTTATTGTGAAGGAACTGGTTTTTTGTTGCTATTAGGGATTCTTCCTTGTTTTCCGTTGTTAATATGTCCGTTTCTGTAATTGTTACTTTTATGAAATTCATTTTAAGGTAAATGGTTTATTTCCTTTAATTTAATCTGGTCCTATCAATCTGCATCTTCTCCACTATTATAGGTTCATGTATGCTATATTACCCATATATGGCAAGGATACAACTTGGCATTTGTTGGATATGGAATTTATAAAGAAAGACTTGAAGTATCTGACAAGATATGGTACCCTTATTGTGTTGGATACATAATTTACACTAAAAATTTAAGTATTATGATTCATAACCCTTTGGAGGGTCATCGCATGTGTACTGTAGATGAGATATTTGGGCAACACCAAGGTAATATAAAATAATTAATATTTGGGAGAACCTATTTTCTTTATATGGTCCTAGGTGGTCATCACCAACAGATATTGACAGCTAATTTAGGTCCTCCACCTCCCCCCACCAAGAAAAAAAAAGAGCTGCTGTTTTGTGGCCTGTATGGGCAGAACAGTGTGCAACTAAACTTTGATGGATGCAGTCTTATAATATCAGACATATGAGGAGCCTTTCAGAGCCATGAAGGCCAAGGTTTGGTAATATATACAGGTGCTATGTGTATTAGATACTCTTGAGCTGCTATCCCTTTTACAAGATTGGTGATCTCACTGGGTTATGGCTAGAAATCCAATATGGTTCTCAATTTGTAGTTGGGTGGATAAAGGGGATTGGATCAGGCCTTTGTCTATCTACACATTATTAGGAAAGCTAGCTCTTTGGCATTTGGCATGAACACCTCGTTTGGCTGGGATCTGAGGTCTACTCTCTAGGTAAGGAGTAAATATTGGAACACTTATATTGATGGGGGAATAGGCAAATGTGGGTCGGTTATTCTTTATTGGGATATACTGTTATTTGGGTTCAGCTAACTTTTTGAAGGTATGAGAGATCCATCATATGGATGGCCGAACCCTGCAGGTAGGTTGGGCGAAATTTCAAAAAATTTCCTCTCCCTTCATCTAGGAATCACATTCCCTGTTTAGAAAAACTGCATTTTTCAAGGATCAATCTTGAACCAAGAATCGAACCAGATCTGAACCAAAAGGTAGGAGAGGGATATACCTGATACGAAGAAATAGTATCTCCCAACGAAGGTGTTCACGCCTAAGGAAGGATCCAAAAACTGCTCCCACTGAAGATGGCGCAGTGTAGGATGGAGCAGAGTCAGCAGTGTTTTTCCCAAGAACCGAACCCTTCACAAGAATTTGATGGAGGCAGTGAGCACAATTTCAAATCAGACTTTCTTCAAAGGCTGATATCAAGACACCTCTTGATCGCTCCTACAAGGAGATCGAACTGGCAGTATGGCGGCGGCAGGAGGAGAACGCAGAGAGAAGGCGCAGTCACATTGTATTCAACTTCTCTCTATGCTCTGAGATCTTGTATCTCTGAGATTTCTAGGGTTCGATGAAAGGTTTGCCCCCTCCTTTTATAGGCTTAAAGAGAGCTCCTAATCTCATTAGGAGTTTCCTAATCCAAATCTGTATTTGGTTAGGAGTTCTCTTTAAGAGATAAGGATAAGTCCTTATCTTATCTGCAGATTAGATCAGCCCTCTCCTAATCTCATTAGGAGGTTTCCAGATTCAGATCTGGACTCTTTGAGTGGATAGGGTAGGACCCTATTCTATCTGCTGATTTAATCCCAGATCCGCCCCCTAAGTAACTGATCATATCAGCCCAGTTCGAAATGGGCTTTAGGCCCAATAAGTATAAGTGCTCATTTAGCCTTCCAAATTGTTGCTCAGTTGGGCTTCCTTGCAATGCGTGGGACCCAAGCATTGATCTACACATCAGCCACAAGGGTTCGGCCCAACCTTTGTTACAAGGCCTAGCCGAATTCATTGGAAAGCCTAGTGAACCTCTGAGCCCATCACATGGACTCTATGGGCCCAACACTTACACTAAGTGGTCCCTGGGCCAAGCCACCTTGTAACACCCAGGGACTGTGGGCAGATGCAAGATTAGCCCATCAGGTATTAC